GTAACTTGAAGTTCAGGCCCTATACAGAATAGGGCCTGACACAAAACCTGTCTATAGACCGTGGGACACCCACATGTTATTTTTAGACACAGCATGCAATATCTTTCAGTACAGCACACCCCTCAGTATGAGGATTATTACACAAGTGTTGTAGATTTCGTTACACAAAAATTTATATTCTCATGAACATGTCCGCAGAGTGTGCATTTTGCTTTTTAATTAAACTTAAAAATTCAAGGTACCTAAATTTATATAATTAAGAGTCAGTTTCTCTATTTAACTGAACAGCAAACAAAGATTTAATTAGTCAGTTCTGTGCACAGCTTGACTGCCAAGCTTTCTCAAGGTCTCAACTTGCTGGACCCGGATACTCTAACGGGCTAACAACAGCAACAATGAAATTCTCAATCGTACCACAAAGAAGCTAGGCGATGTAGCTCAGAAAACAACACTGGTAGGACCTGATATTAAAAATAAGACTTTTGCCGGTGAAGCCAGTTGGCAGAACAACTTGGCTGTCAACAACGAGCTTTCGAATACATGACTAGTTTGGCTGTTCTTTCAGCGTCGTGTGTCCAAAATTCGGCAAAGATTTTGATAAAGCCCTTTCAAAATACTGTTTGTTTGATTTATTTTCTGCCATAAAGCATAAAAGAAAAGAAATTCGAAGAAATCGATAATGAAATTTGTTATGTGCGTTTGACCTTTATAGTAATTGTCGCCTTGAGCCCTTGAGCGAGCTACTTTTAAAACTGTTGTTTATGTGAACTTGCAGCCAATCAAAATCTTTCATGATGGTGATGATGCTGATCAACCAATCAGATTTTCCGTCCACCAGATGGACGGGAAACCCACGGTTTAGATAGGTTTTGTGTCAGGCCCTATTCTGTGATTAGGGCCTGAACTTCCCCAGAGGTTGAACATCTTGGCAAGATCTTATCAAGATCTTACCATGATCTTGCCATGATCTTACCATGAGCTTGCCATGATTTTGCCATGATCTTACAAAGATCTTGTGTAAATCCTGCAAGTTCTTGCAAGATCTTTGTAAGACCCTGCAAGATCTTGCCATGATCTTACGAAGATCTTGCTGTTATCTTGCCATGATCTTGCCATGATCTTACCATGATCTTACAAATATCTTGTATAAATCCTGCAAGTTCTTGCAAGATCTTTGTAAGATACTGCAAGATCTTGCCATGATCTTACGAAGATCTTGCTATTATCTTGCCATGATCTTACGAAGATCTTGCTATGATCTTACCATGATCTTACCATGATCTTACCATGATCTTACGAAGATCTCGCGATGATCTTGCCATGATCTTACGAATATCTCGCGATGATCTTGCCATGATCTTACAAAGATCTTCCCATGATCTTCCCATGATCTTCCGAAGAGCTTGCCATGATCTTGTCATGATCATACAAAGATCTTACGAAGATCTCGCGATGATCTTGACATGATCTTACGAAGATGTTGCCATGATCTTACAAAGATCTTGCTGCCAATTCTGCTTAAATCCTGCAGGATCTTGCCATGATGTCGTTATGATCTTGCAGTGATATTGCCATGTGATGTCCCTGCCATGATTTTGCCAAAAATCCTGCAGGTTCTCAAAATCCAGCCATGTATATGATTACGATCTTACCAGGCCAGAAGTTATGAATGATCTTGCTATATAAAATTTTACATTTATCTTACCATTGACGAGACATTGTTACGACTGATGATTAAATGCTAAATTTAAAGGTGACATTCAAACTTGAATTTGAGAAGATCAATTAAAACAGACAAATTATAAAATACACTTAATATTATAAATTCTCTTGGGAACCACAAATATGTCGATAAATATTTATATAAAATAGTGCAAGTATAGCTACAAAAACATCAATAAAAAATGGTGCAAGTATATAAACACATTTATGTATAAAAATGGTTTACGTATTTAGGGAAATAGTATACGGTATATAAAAATGTCCAAAAAGTTCATTCAATTTGTACAGATCGAACTTTTACTTTTTCTTTTAATTTATGTCCCTACATTTCTGGTTGCAGGCGTTCACAATTGCTTGATGGTACTTTTTTATTTTCTCTTCGCCATACTGGGCATTAAGAACATCTATAGTTAAAACAGAACATAATAAATAAATGAAAACACAGGAAAACTGATTAAGCTGAACATACAATAAAATGCAGGAAATAAACGCGAACAAATAATGAAATACGAAGCTCGTTCTGAAGTACTTCATAAGAATAAGGGACCTCTACAAATCTATGGCTAATAATTAGCGCGTTAATTCGAACCGGCAACATATCGTAGTGCTTTGAAATTCATTATTGCTTTTGACCGACGAATGCGTTAAAACACATAGTTTTACACACATGGGACATTTAGAGAAGCTTCTAATCATATGAAACTGCATCCTTTGAAATTGAATACACTAAGTTGTTTGATTTAACGTGCTAATTTGAATGGTAGCAATGAAAAAAATGTTTGGGACACCCTGTACAATAGGTAATCTTATAAAGTTAATTTATACAAGACCAGTGCATTAATTCCCGAAAAGCTGTTAAGCTATACAGTAGTATCCTGCTTAGAACAGCTACTAGATCTGATTCCGATCTAGTAGCTGTTTTATGTAAAGATATTGTAGCTAAGTGCATAGTTGTGGAAACTAACGAACCTTTTGTGGATGCGTATATCACTACTGTTAATGATATTAATTGTACATAGCAAGAAATGTACGTAACTTGCACAATCATTGAAAAACGTGTATTTGGAACGGTTACAATCAAATATAGAGAATTTTTTTCTTTATTTTAGTTATAAATATTGTTAATAACTTCACATTTTAATAGCACAGCAAGGTCTTCAAATATCATGATTGGTTGACTCTTTGCAGGTTTTACTCTAGCTTTTAACTGACTTTACTTTGTCAGTGACTTTTGAAAAAGCCCTGCAAAAATTTCAGCACGGTCCTTCCACGATTGTTCAAAGGCTATGGCATGATCTTAAAGAATCATCAGGCTGGCAAGATCTTGACAAGATTGCGGTGACAAGGTTATGGTAAAATCATGGCTAGATCTTGTGCAGGGGTAAAACTAGAGCGTTAATTTGGGGTGGTGGGGAGTGGTGCTGTGAGTGTTACATATATTCGTGATCTGTCCAATTAATTTCCTTTTAAATCAGTTGTTTTTAATGAATATTCAACCCCCCCCCCCACACACACAGAGCCGCCGAGAGGGGGGGGGGCAGGGGGGGAAAATTGCCCCGGGCCCCGAGGTGCTGGTGGCCCCTGAAAAATTTTTGTTGGGCCCCAGTCTTTTTTCTGTTTTAAATATTTCCGCGCAAAGGACAACGTATCTGTTTTATTGGGCTAAGTACCGAAATTAGGCATAAAAAATTAGATAAAGCCCCTGGAAAGTGCGTGCAATCTACTCGTCCGGAAAAATTTTTGACCCCTAAAATGGTACACTGACCGAAATTTTTTTGGCGACGGGGGGATGAGGGGTTGTTGTTGTGAAAATTTTTTTTCAAAAAGGGGGCCCCCAAAAAAATTTTGCCCCGGGCCCCCGCCAACCTCTCTGCGGCACTGCACACACACACACTAATTAACGCTCTGATCTTGTGGAAATCTTGGAACGATCATGCCAAGATCTTGAAAGACAAGATTATAGTAAAATCATGGCAAGATCTTGTGGAAATCTTGACAAGGTCATGCAAACCAAGATCTTGAAGGGTCATGGCAAGATCCTGGCAAGATTGTATCAAGATCATAATAAAATCATGGCAAGATCTTGTGGAGATCTTGACATAATCATGGCAAGATTTTGAAACATCATGGCAAGATATCGAACTATCACGGCAAGATCTTGACAACATTATAGTAAAATCATGGCAAGATCTTGTGGAAATCTTGACAAGATCATGGCAAGATCTTGAACGATCATGGCAAAATATTGAACTATCATGGCAAGATCTTGACAACATTATAGTAAAATCATGGCAAGATTTTGTGGACATCTTGAAATGGTCATGGCAAGATCTAGAAAGATCATGGCAAGATCTTGACAAAAGTGTACTTTAAATTTGTTTTTAAAATGTATCAAGATCTTGGCAAGAAAATAAGAAATTCTTGCCAAGATCATAGCAAGATCTTGCCAAGATAATTTCTTGACAAGATCTTACAAAATCCTATAAGATCTTACAAGATCGTGGCAAGATGTTCAACCTGGGTCAGGTTAGATGATGGGGGACTTGGATGACATTTTCTCTCTCGGTAGACGATGCGGGGACGAAAGTGGGAGAATGGATTCAGTGGTTAACTTATATATTCTGTGTTGCTGATTTAGTTTTCTTTACAAGAAACGTTTAAATACAATAACATAAATGAATTTGATAATTTGTTATTGCTGATCTATGAATTATACAAAACTATTTTCCCGGGGTTGAGAGCGGAAATGCGGGGACATTGATTAATTATCCTTTAATTCTCTGGGGGCGAGGACAATTTCGCTCTTCTACTACCCCTCTAAGTCAAAATCCCCGCCCCTCCCCGGTTGGGGGTTTTTAGTCTTTGGGAATTCCCTTATTACGTAATGTGTTTCTTGGCACTGTTGACAGGCAACCTGTTTGGCAATTATACTATGTCAAAAAATGAATCCTCATATCAACAACTTCATGTAACATTAAATATTAACCATAATCCGGTCACATGACAAGTATCGAAAACATCGATATTTTAAAAAAGTATCGATACCATCTTTTGAATTGTGAATATCGAAAGTATTGATGCTTTAGTAGTGATATTTATTTTACTACTTGGTGGTGACATCCAGATCAACCCAGGACCGAACTACAAATATCCTTGTGGCGTACATTCAAAACCGGTCAAATCCAATCAAAAGTGCTTACAGTGTGATAATTGTAATCTCTGGTATCACACTAAGTGCTGTTAATGGATCGATAATGATATGTGCAATTCACTACTAGCCAATTCATCTTGTGTTTGGATGTGTCCGCAATGTAAACTCCTTCCTTGTTAATTCATCAGAGTTAAACCTAAACAACTCCTTCTCCGCACTGGACTCACTCATAACCTCCAACTCCGAGCACACAAAGGCTCCAACAGAACCCTCTAATACAACACCTAAACCAACACGTCGCAAACTCAAAGGCGTGGTAATAAACTGCAATGGTCTAAAGCGTATCTCTTGATCTAATATATGAGCCCAAAGGCCCCAAAGCCTTGCTTGATTTGTATAACCCTGACTTCGTTTTAGAAACTGAATCCAAATTAGAACAAGATATTCCAAGTTATTCAATATTTCTATCAAACTACGCCATCTTCCGAAATGACAGAAATCGCAATGGTGGCGGAGTCTTCCAAGCAGTTAAATCTGATCTCGTTTGTACTGAAGAAACTGATTTAACCAATGACTGTATCATTTGGACATCCCTTAAGTTAAGCAATTGCAAAACATTGTATCTGTCAGCGTTTCATAGACCTCCCAACTCAAACACTGAGGTACTGGACAAATTCCACGATTCAATCAGTCGAGTATTTGACAAAAGTCTCACCCGTCCCAATGTAATTATTGGAGGAAATTTCGATCTTGGTGACATCGATAGAGCATCAGATGTACCGGCTCCTCGTATCCCAAATTCTGCCTCAGCATAACAAATTCCTATACACCTGATTGATGATTTCTCGTTTTCTCAACACGTCAAATCTACTACTAAACCTGCCTCTGGCAATATTCTGGATTTATTATTATCTATATATCCAAACTCTGTCCTTCATGCTACCACTGCATGTCTCGGGCATTTACCATCTTGCTGTTGTATTCGAAGTAAAGCTGAAATGGAATAAATCAATAAGTCCCCCAGACGTCCTCGCGACCAAAATTTAATCTTCCATGGATAACACTTAACATCAAACGGGAAATGCGTAGGAAAGATCGGCTCCATAAAAAGGCTGTTCAAACCAAGAAAACGCAACATTAGAATAGCTTTAAATATCAAAGAAATCATATGTCTAAGCTTATTAAAGAATCGCACGAGAACTACTTTAATAACATCATTGGTAGCAGCTTGACCGAGAATCCAAAAACGTCCTGGTCCTATGTCAAGAATAGTAAATCTGAATCCATAGGAATCCCCCCATTGAAATCAAACAGCACTGTCAGCATCTCAGATAAGGATAAAACGGAAACCCTAAATTCATATTTTTTCTCAGTTTTTACTTGTGAACAGTTATGTATGGCCAGTCACCATACGAGCCCATCACTTACCTGAAGATTAGTTCGGATGGTACTGTCGCTAAGCAGCTATCCAACTTAAATCCCCAAAAGGCATGTGATCCAGATAAGATCCCAGCTAGAGTTCTGAAGGAAATCGCTCAGTCTGTATCACCGCATGACTGGCCTTTATTTTTCAGTAATCTTTCGATCACAACGCTGTTGCAACTGATTGATCACAAGCTCTTGTCATTGCTGATTTGCTGTATTCAAAAATAATAGTAAGTCATATCCAGCAAATTATCGGCCAATCTCGTTAACGTGTATTTGTTGTAAAATCATGAAACACATTGTGCTCAACCACATGACAAAACATGTTTCTGCAAATAATATCCTAATTGATGAACAACACGGTTTTAGGAAAAATCGCTCATGTGAAACCCAATTAATCTCGACGAGTACCGCACGAGCGTCTCTTGACTGAGCTCCACTACTATGGAATCAGAAGGAATACATGCACAAACGTGGATAAAAGCATTCGTTACAAATCGTTCCCAGATTGTCTCAATTAACGGAACCCACTCCTCCTCCAAACCTGTTATCTCTGGTGTACCTCGAGCTCAGGGATCAATTCTAGGTCCACTGTTATTTCTGCTATACATAAATGATGTTTCCAACAATATTCAATCAAGTCTACGTCTCTTCGCTGATGACTGTGTTCTACATACTTAGAGTAATTGATAACCACCAGGATCATCAAATTCTACAAAACGATCGATCTAGATTGCCTATCTTGGGTCGATTGCTGGCAGCTTAAATTCAATGTGTCCAAATGTTACCATCTAGGAATAACCTCTAAGAAAACCCCTCACATGTACAATTACTGCTTGAATGGTCAAATTATCTGTAGAGAAAGTTCTACAAAATATTTAGGGGTCACCATTACTAGTACCTTGCGCTGGATTGAACACTGTGACAATATTTGTAAAAAAGCTAATTCCACCCTTGGCCTAGTCCGCCCTAAGCTTGAATACGCTTGTCAGTTGCGTTTGGAACCCTCATACCAAACGGAATTCTGAGAAAATTGAAATGATTCAACATCGCGCCGCACGATTTGTCAACAACGACTTTATAGATACAGCCATGTTTCCCCAATGATCAACAATTTAGGATGGGACATACTTGAACGGCGTAGACTGCTTAACCAGTCGTGTATGTTCTACAAGATCCACCAAGGTTGCGTTGATTTAACTTCCCCCTTGAAGTGAAGTGTGCCCTCTAAAAAGAAAATCCCGACTTCCAAATCGTCATCCCTTCCAGCAAGTTTCTTGTAACAATGATATTTTCAAATTTTCATTTTTCCCAAGAACTATTATAACCTGGAACAATCTCCCTTTCATCGAACTGCCTGCGAATATCAACGCTTTTAAAAGTGCTGCATTAACTACATTAATAGAGAGAATCAGTATTAATTTTGGCAGGACACTTTTATTGTAAAATTTATTAGAACCACTGAGTATTTTAACAAAATACAAAACAAGTGAAACTCCAAAGATCGATAACATTTTTATATTTATCTACGTTTCGACTATGTCAGTTTCAGTCATCATCAGGATAAACCTAAGTTTATCAAACCTAAGTTTATCCTGATGATGACTGAAATATAGTCGAAACGTAGATAAATGTAAAAATGTTATCGATCTTTGGAGTTTCACTTGTTTTGTACTTTTATTGTACATTTTTAACTTTTAAAATTTTTTCATATATCTACTTCATAGTAATTTTGGTAATGTATATACATATACTGAGTATCTCCTAGTATAGTGTAAGCTGATTTAGGAGTATCAGATTAAAGATTATCTCTAGAAGAACTGAAGCATAGTTGTACTTTTACCGACATATGCTAATGAGCGCTCATCTTTCAATGGACAATTAAAATAAGCACCCAACAGTGGAATATCAGACATTATATACTATATGCAAAATACTATATACCTATAATCAAACACAAATAAACGTAAATACTAATACTGGCAACAGTAATTCCTTTTATATACTGAAATCTCAGAACGAATCTTCGCGAACACAAGCCACTGAATATATTAAATTTGCCGCACCAAATGGCGCTTGTTTTTATGAATATACGACTAAAGTCCACAGGTCACACTACACAACGATAACGATACGATAACTTGTATACGCGCGCTGATTGGTCAAAAATTTATCGTTATCGTCCGACTGAAAAAAAAATCGCTCAGGTGAGCGATTTTAAATCGTTATCGTTATCGTCTAACGATAATTTTATCATTTTCGTTGTTGTGTGGACACTAACACAATTTTTTTGACAATTATCGCGTGTTTACAATTTATCGTATCGTTATCGTTGTGTAGTGTGACCGGGCCTTAATACGAGCAAATTTTAATATAATACAGTGGTATAGACCCTGGTAACCTAGTAACAACTCAGGAATGTAAAATGACAGCAAAAAAGCGAAGTGGAGAGCAATATTTTGCTTGTTCGGTGGACTAAATTACGACGAATCTGCGGCATGAAAATGCTGTTTCAAAGGCGGTCGGGAACAGGTTTAGGGAAGCCGTTGAGCCTTTAAATGCTGCTATAAGGGAGTGGCCATTATTTATGGGGATG